TTTCTAATCTTCCTCGGTCATCTCTCCAAGGACATTGGACCATAGATAGTAGCTCATTGACAAGTGCATGCTTTATGCACTATTGAATCGACATATTGCCACAGTCAGAAGATTATGAAGTTCATGATGGTTGTGATATAATTTGACTTCATTTGAGTCAGGATGACTTCATAGTTGGCAAATATGGAGTGCAACTCAAGGTAGAGTGAAAAGCAGTGACCAAACAAGAACTGTTCGCCTTAGAATGGAAAATTAGTCTCGTATAGCAAAGTTGATCTGCCTCACCATTGATCTGAAGATTGATGGAAGCCAACAGTTAGCACATCATCTTACCTCGCAGGATTTCTGCCGACCAAGCAAAGTAGCTATCAATCTTGTTTTGACGATGAACTAGTGATCTAGGGGATGTCCAAGGCTCAATAGCCACTTTCCATGAATATCACGAGGATTGTCGGGGCAATTGACTCCATCATCCTTGCTCAAGATCTGACCACCCTCGCCTAGCGCCTGATTTGCGATCGCTAGTGCCCCAGACGGACCCTCATCTTGGTTTATCAGACTCGGATCACCTACACTAATAATCATCATAAAATAAGGAAAATTAAAAGAAATCAGACCACATAATAAAGATAAAATCCCCTCTTACCTAGAAGCCAATTCAACTCAGATATCGTAATTGACGCGGCGAGCTCACCAGGGAGCACCAATGAAAGCGACAGAAGAACACCAAAAGTTAACATGGTTGACCAATGGGTCTATAGCCATAGAAAAAAAGTGAGCGGTTGGTTCAAGTGTCAAGTTGGTCAGCTAAGCGTTCTATTGGGCTATGTTGAGGATCGAAACAGACAACCCCACCTGATCCGATAGTAGGAGCATACTCTTCTTCCTTTTCACAAAGGTCTTCTTCCTCTTCTCACTCTCCAGATGGCCTTCTCCTTTCAATTTCCCAAAGACAGGGCATATCAATTTCTTGGTGGGAATGTCGGCTTGGGACTTAGACAGTTTGTCCATCGCAACTCCGAAAACACACTAGGCAATCGACTCCGACAAGGGGAAGTGCTGGGCAAATTATGAATGGGAAGAGGTCACATCACATCCGATTTATAAGAATCGAAGGCTGTAAAATCAATAGAGTTCAATTATTAAATCATTAATTAAGCTTAAATGAGATCTACATTTGTATTAAATTTTATGATTCTTATCGCAATGTCACTTTGAAGAAGAGAATCAGTGAGCTGAAATATTTACATTAAAAATGTGACTGTACTGACCTTGAAGAGATTTAATTACCTAGAAGAGATCTGAAGATCTAGAAGACAAGAATATGAAGAAGGTAGATCCATCATAAGGAGTCTATGAGGCCCACCAGGCCGAATGAGCCAAGTCATGTGAACCAAGTCAACTAAACCAAAACCGACTGAGCCAAAAGAAGGACAAAAAGATGACCTAGAGATCCAAGTGTAAGCAATATAACCAAGAATGATAAAATGGAGCGTCTGATTCATCCATTGCAGGAAAGCTGGCTCGATGTTGTAGCATATCTCACTATGGAGCCAACCCAACGAGAGAGCTAATCACTACATAAAAACTGTCAATTCGGGTCGACGCAAAATTACCAACCGATTAGCGTCGCCCCGCGGTTCCGCTTCCAAAAAAAACAACGCATGTGAGTTGCGTCAAGCAGAAGTCATTAAGACAATACTATAGCATCAGATTAGCGTTGACTATGACTGACCCTAATCTTACTTATTAGCATTGGCCATGTTCGATGCTAATTTTGACGCAAGAGCCCTAAAATATGGCTCCCACGAACAACATCTATATTTCACGCCCTCTTCTCCTTCAGCTTTGTTTCGACGATTCCATCACCTCCGTAGCTTTTCTGGTGAATCCAACTCCGATTCACAGCTCTAAACCAGTCCAATGTGAAAAATCTTTTTTCACGCCTCCAAGCTTTGGTTTAGCATAAGTTTTCATCCTCTTTTTCCTTGCATAGGTGTTAGATCTAAAAATAAATAGGTTTTGCTCCAGTTTTCTTCATATTTCATTGTTAGGTATGCAATGCATATAGATTTCATGGTTTTCCCTAAGTTTAGGTGTGAGATATGTAAATACGTAAGAATTTTGTGCTATGTATGAAAATTTGGGTGTGAGATATGTAAATGCATAAGAAAATTGTGGTATGTAAATATGAAATTTAGGTGTGAAATATGTGAAAGCATAAGAAATTTTTGCTAAGTATGTAAATATGAAAATCTAGGTGTGAGATACGCAAATACATAAGAAATTTGTGTTATTTTTGTAAATATGAAAATTTAGGAGTGAGATGTGTAAATATAGAAGAAATTTGTGCTATGTATGGAAATATGAAAATGTAGGTGAGAGATATTTAAATACATAAGAAATATGTGCTATGCATGTAAATATGAAAATTTAGGTGTTAGATATGTAAATACATGAGAAATTTGTGCTATGTATGGAAATATGGATGTTCGATCCCCTACACAAAGCACTACCGAAGACTGGTATGATTATCTCAAAATGCAGAAGCTCACAAATTTATGTATTTATGTGATCTTATATTTGTCTGATCATGTGTATAGGCCAATGAGCTTGACAAAACCATCCATTGCAGAATTTCATGTCCTCACAAATCAACGTGCGAGCACACAATAGTGGGTATCCGAGCACTCTCGTCGTGTCAATGTTAGTTAAAAAAAGTATGATTTTCAATTTTTGTGGGGTTATTAATATGTCAATTGATATTTGAAATGGAAATTAATGTTTGAATTTTTTTTTTGCAGGAGGAGTATGAGCAGCTCTGGAAGAGGCAGACGGAAATGGCCAGCAAGACATCACCATGTGTCGGCAGTAATGGTTGCTAGTCTACGACTGCTCAGTTCGATATTGAGTTGTGGGCGCATGCGACAGGGAAGAAGAGGGGGAGAGTGGATGACCTAGGAGCAAAGGGGGTAGCATTTGAGGCCGAGCGCTCCCGTGGATCTCTGAGTGGCCCTAGCAGCTTTTTACAGACTTAGCACGAGGAGCTTGTCAAGTGTGCGATGATGATGAATGAAGAGCTTTAACAGGTGTGTGAAGTCCAGCAGATTGTTGCAGATAGTTTAGCAAACTTGACGTAGAGTCTTAATCGCTAGAGCAAGCAGCATATGTGTGCAGTCGAGGAGGAGGAGGAGGAGCAGAATGAGGTTGGCGATGAAGATTATGATTTTTATTTTATGTTTGATTTGTTTGCCCCAATACAGGGGTTAATTGTATATATATTTTTTTTACTTCCACTTCGAAAAAAATTGATTCATGTGTTGTAAACTTTGAACAGTTTAATCTGTTTATTTTTAATCAAATTTGATACCTGTGTAAATATTTTGAAGATCTCTTGTCCTATTATGTTTCTTATGATAGTTATTTGCAGGTGTGTTCAAATCTGATCATTTTGCTTTTTTGTTTTTTTGGTTTCATGCAGGTTTGCGTCGGTATAGTGCTGGAATATTCCGACACTAAAACCTACAATCAGCATACGATACATGTCGCCGCTAAAACTGCACAATAGCTACAAATCAGGGCGATGTTAATTAGCGGCTGCCATGGCCAACACTAATTTGCATTGGAAGTGGTTGACGCTAATTACCGTTAGCATATTTTGATGTTATTATGCATTTATCCTAGCAGCACTGACAATTGCGACGTAAACTTTTATTGACGAATTTTGGGGACCCTAATTCTGACGCTAATAAAATATCAACGCAAATGTCGATACAAAATCAATCGATGACGCCCATTTTAACATCAATTTTTTTTCAATGTTAATTGGACACTAATCAAGATTAGTGTTATAAAAACACAAGATTAGCGTCAGAAATGTCTAACGTTAATCAGACAATTTCCTGCAGTGAATCTCACAAAGCAATTCCGGCCATCCCACTTAGACCACAAAAACTTCTCATCAAGGATCAAATATAGTCAACCAAACTGGTTCGAGCGACCACACTCTACCGACCAAGCTCAGCCTACTAAGCTAATCTGTTGATCTGAGTCAACTAAGCTTAGCCAACCAGACGAACATGCATTCAAATGATAGGCCCATACTTATAAAATATCTCAAGTACTCCGGTACATACACACCCTCTCCAAATAGAGATAAAATTGCAAATTCATTATGGTCACGCCCAGTCTATAAATATGAAAATCATTTTATAAAGAGAGAGAAAACTGTTATTCATGTCTCTCTCTCTCTCTCATATGCATAAACATATGATAGTATTATATAGGTAAATATAAAATTTAGGGTATCAAATTTATAAATATACAAGACATGTGATACAAGATATCTACTCAATTCTCTTCAGTTGTTCATATATAGTAAAACAACTTTAAATATATTATTTTTCACCCACTTCCAGTTGATAAGCTTACTCTTGTCAATTTAATCTGATATCTTTAAGTACTAATCCATCATTTGATTGGAATTTCATGTCTGATCAGCTTGATTCATAAGCACTATTTTAATACCACACCAAACCCCTAATCATTATGAAAGATCCCAAGCCTAATAATTGAACTCAATTATTTCCCAAAATATTTAATTCACATATTATTCATCATAAAAAAATAAACAATAAAACAATGAATCCACAAACCATCTTTCATCTTTCACCATCACACCAAGATATAAATCTCAAAGTTTTGGAGAAATATTTGCGTACGAAAAACGTACGCAGAATTGTGTATATTTTAGGTTATTTAGAGGGACAACTATGTTACACTTAAGTTATACTCCTCTTATAATTCTTTCTGTAATCTAACTGTAACTTAATTGTACCCTCTGAATAGCCTAAAATATAGGCAACTCATGTATATATTTTAACTTACAAAAATTTAAAATGCAAACACCAAAAAAATAATTAAAAAAAAATTTACATCTACTGGTAAAAGGACTGCAGCCACGTGCCATTCCACTTCCTTCCACCCCTTCACATTTATTGCTACGGACCACTGGTACCAATAACAATCCACAGAATAGAAGAGAAAAAAAGCTCAATTAAATAAGATGCGGTAATTTCTACCCGATTACCACCCCCCATAATACCGCCGCCGCCCCCGCCGGCGATCATAGACTTCCTCCCTGTAGCAGCATTATTATCATCAGCAGCCAGATCCGCCGGGGCCGCATCCGGCCCATCGGCCGGTGGCTCCGCCTCCTTCTTTCCCTTCTTCTTACCCTTCGCCGGCGCCGGCGACGGCGCTTCCGTTTCCTCCGGTTTAAACAGCTCCAGCGGCTGCAAAACCTTGTCAACTCCGTACACCGCTACAGGATCCTGATTAATCAAAGTCGATGTGATGGTCGCCGTGGTTACCCCCGTCTCTAGCGTGACGTTCTCGCCGTCATCCTGTACCGTGAAATTGTAGTTCTTCGAAGCACCGCCGTCGGTCGCGAGCGTCGTGACGATTCCGTTGTTCGATTTAAGCTCCTGCAGGGAGCTGTAAACGGGGTAGCCATGGTAGAGCAGGAGAGAGGCCTTAGCACCTGCGGTGAGATTCTTGTACTTGGGAATGAAGGCCTTGACGGCAGGATCGTTTGGGCAGAAAACCGTGAGCCCGCCTTCTGCGCTTTGGGTGAAAGTGTTTAGCGTGTCGTGATCGGCCGAGAGAAGACCGGCGAAAAGCGCGCAGCCTTTATGAGACATTAGATCGGTGAGATTGACGGGTGCGGGGGCCGCGGCGGGGGCTTCGGCTTCAGGGGATGAAAGGGGCTGGCTGATCTGGATGATGGATATGTTATAGGGTATCTCTTTGATGGATTTGACAAAACTGGAAGCGGGAGATGGGGGCGCGGAGGGGTCATCGGAGGTGGCGGCGAAGGAAACGAGACCGGCGCGATGATCGGTGATGTTGACGAAACCGGAAGTACCGGGAGCGGAGCCGCTGGCTTGGAAGAGGGAGGAAGCGAGAGCAGAGCCATGGGTGATCTGGTGGAGCTTCTTGGCGCCGTAATAATCGACGAGAACATGGAGCGAGATGACGTTTTTGAGGGTGGGAAGGGAGAGGTGTTTGGCGAGAAGAGAAGACATGGCGGCGTTGTCGATTGCGAGGACTGTGATGGTTTGGCGGAGGTTGATTTCTGAGGCGAGGTGGGTGACGGTGAGGTAGTGGTTGAAGGTGGAGAAGTCGGGGTGAACTGCGAGGATTTTAGTGATGTTGAAGGCGCTGGTCGGGGAGGGGGAGGTTGCAGAGAGGAGGAGGAGGAGGAGGGGAAGAAGGAAGGAGGGTGGAGATGGCCGCCGCATTTTGGAGTTAATGGAATGTGATGATGCTCAGAGGGAGAAGGAGACGGACGCGGGGATGAGAGCTAGGCTTTTAAGTAGTGGAAGTGGACTAAATAATGGATATTTTTTTTTTTTAAAACAATATGTGGATGTGAAAAATTACAAGATAGTTTTTTTTTTTGCTTATAATTGTCACATTTAATTATCTAAAATTTAATCATAAAATTTTTTCACTCAAAATCTTCATGAAAAAAAAATTAAAATATTTTATTAAAAAGGCTATTTTTTTAATTTTTTTTATTGATAGTTACATGATTATGAAATCAAAAAAAAAAAAAAATCATGGCTTTTTTACCATAATTTATTAGAGTAATATATATATATATATATATATATACACACACACACACATAATTTTGAAGAAGAATAATAGATGCATTTTTATATCAAAATTAGCACATTTTTAAAATAAATGTATATCAGCGGTAGATATTTATTCATAAACTAAGGGTCTGTTTGGAGCAGCTGCAGTTTATTGAATAATCTGCTGATAAGTTAGGTGCGGTGACTATGACAAATTTTTATTTTTTTGGAAAATTCATACCGCTGCCAGAAAGCTGCCACCGCATATAGATAGGTGCAGTGTAAAAATGTTGTTTTCAGTGTTTTGAAAACGTATAAAATTCCAAAATACAGTTTACAACAAGCTGCCTCAAACGGGTCCTAACTCTTTTTTTTTAACCTTTGAAAATAATTAAGAGAGATTAAATTATCTTTTAAATGGGGCCATTACATATAGAGCATGCAAAACATTGCTACGGAAAAGGTTATTCAAAAGCGCCATTAATTCAAATATTACTTTATTTAAATGAGCTGTAACAGAATTTCTACAGTAGGGTTTTCTGCTATTTTTCGGACAGATAAATTAAGGGAAACCCAAGTGCCATATTTGTGGGGCCGGGAGAACGTGGTGGGCCCCACTCCATGCAACTGGCTGTGAAAAATGCCACCGCAGCCCAAAGATAATACCCATCGTCTTGACAATCTCTGTTCAATAGATTGATTCATCAAGATTAGCGCTCGACACATCAGCGATGCTACTTATAGGATTTCTATGCGTCGGGTACTGATAATTTGTCCTTCTTCCACCGACAGGAGTGCTGGCGGAAGATCGTGCGGGATAGGTTGGAGCCAGGGCGGATGGTGAGTTGCAACGGTCACGATTTTTTCGGTTTGACGCCAGCCGACAAGAAACAGTTTCTTTATCAGGTGATTAAGCACCCAAAACAAGGCAAGTATATGCTTTAGCCCCTTAAATGTTTATAAATTTGAGAAATTTATATAGATGCCACAAAATTTATATATATTTACATATCTGCAATCTAAACTTTCCTCCTTATATTTATAATAATAATTAGGGCGGTAAACGAGCCGAGCTTGAGCGAGTTCAGGCTTGGCTCGTGTTCGGCTCGTTCGAAATTGGCTCGTGTTCGAAATTGGAACGTGAACAATGTGTTCGTGTTCGGCTCGATTTAAATATTTGTGTTCGTGTTCGGCTCGAAATTGGCTCGTTAAACTAAGATTGAGAAAAATAGATGTAAAGTGTGGGATTCGAACCTGGATCAAATATATATAAAAGAAGACACTAACCATATTGACACATGAGATGTTATGATTTAAAATTACACATAAATATGTATAATATATTATTATATAAATAATATATGTAATATATTGTTATATAAAAAATTATATAATTTTTTTTTCGAGCCATTTCGAGCCGAACACGAGCGAACAAACTGTTGTTTGTGTTCGGCTTGTTTATATTTCGAGCTTAAAAATTTGTTCATGTTCACGAACAACGAGCCAAATTGACAGCCCTAATAATAATAACCTTTAAGATGCGTATTTCATTTTTAAAATGAAAATAATTATAATATTTTTTTATGTGATGTTAAAAGTTTATTGAAACTAGTTTGCATCATGGACCAAAATATTTCAATATATTTCCAAATTTTAGTTTATCATTAAGAGTTGTTAATCTGTTCGAAGTAATAAAACTTCAAATCTAATTACATGGATATGATTTCCATTCAGGATTAGAGACAATTACTATGATATATAGAATTCATTTTAAGGTAATGAATACAATTTTCTAAGAACAAGAAAAATCTCCGACATATAGAAAAAAGAACAATTATAGAAACAAATTTACTAGCATCAAATATTGCTACAAATTGAAAAACTAGATGGAATGAGATTACATTCCCTGAATAATGGATGCTAACTATTTTAGTTCTTCCAAAATCAATACTTAATCAAGACATTGGTCAGACAATACAATTATTAGAAGGTGATGTTGAAGTTAGGTTTAATCATAGACAGTCAATTAGGGAATTTTTTTATCTTCTACTTCTATAAATGAATCTAGTTCTTCAATTAAAGAAAAGTAATCTCCAATTGAAATAGTAAATACTATTCAAATAAACAATAATCAAAATTTATATCATGTGAGAGAAATTTATTCTTCCACAACATCAAAATTGAATGTTATGAAGCAAAACTAAAGACATCTTAATTAAGGATTTTTATAAAAGAAAATGTTCTCAATTATAGAATGATATAGAAAATGAAAAATTCATAAAAGTGAAACAATAGAATCAACTTATCTCCCAACAAATAATAATGTTATAAATAGTAAATTAGAAAATTTAGAAATCTCAGTTTTCAGTAAAATAAGTATCAAAGCATCTACTTAAAACTCAAAACTATTTAAAAATATTCAAAATATTGAACAATAATGTTCAATAAGTCAATCTTTAGCCATTGTAAAAAAAAACATTGTAGACATCATTATATTTGATGTCACAAGCGTAGGGTGTCCACCTGCATGACTCAAAATGGTCTATTGCCCGTTCGTAGCATTCAGCCACCCAAGACACCCACTCGGGACCTTCCAGCACTTGCTCAGGGCAAGTAGCTTGGATTAGTGGTGATTTTCCACCCGGGAAAACAACCTCCGAGAGACCCATTCAGGATGTGAAACGTTCGAGATGCCTAATGGTTAAAAGTCAACACATGTTCATCTGGAGTCTCCCACGGCCATAAGAAATTACGGAGACTGCTTACATGTGCTACGGAAAAATTAGGATTCAGGACACTCTACCCACACTGTGGTTTAGGACGACCGTTCGTACAATTTTCTCTTATGAATGGCCAATGAAAATAATCCATTATATAACTATGAGGCAAGATTTCAATTTTATAGAGTCCCCCATAACTTTCAGATCGATAAAATGCTTTATCATGTGCTCCCAAAAAAATAAAGATTTTAGGTCAGATTGGTGCCACAACACCGACCTCGGGGGACCACGTGCTCAAAATACCTTTCCGAACCATGTAGTATGAGCCCTTAAAGCTCTAACACCTAACTGAAACATTTGCACTCATGTCCGGCGCCTAAGCGCCTAAGATCGGGCGTCCAGGCACCCAAAACAGGCTAACAACACTATATTTTTCCGAGAGCTTGGTGATAGGTGCCGACCCCTTGGCGCTTAGAAGCTCAATAGGTTAACTAGCACCTTGGAGCCATGGTGAGTGGTGTCGAGGTGCCAGAGTACAGGGTGTCTAGGTGTCGGTCGTGAACAAGGTCTCAATTTTGGCTGATTTTGACGTCGTAAGCCGTCGGATAGCCTCAGAAACTTAAAGGCGGGTAGCTAATTCCCCTTTTTCCCTCATCTAGAAAGATCCAAAGACCCTTTTGAGGAGCATTTTGGTTATTTGGAGGGGGAGCAAACCTTAATCTATCGCTCCCCCTCTCATTTTTTCACTGGCTTTGTTTCTGGCCATGAGAGGGCTTTGATCGCCCCTTTCTCCGCCTCCTTCTTCTTATTATTATGCTAGGACACGAGAGCTTTAGCGAAAGCTCTTGGGTCGAGCTTTGGAAAGATCTCGGAGGCCGTTGGAGAGGCCTTTTGGAGAGAAAGCAAGGAGGAGGGGTTTCTCTTCTCCTCCTCCATCTTCTTCGTCCTCCTCCTTACCTTCTTCTTTCTCTTCATCTTTTTCATTTGCTATGACATTTTGTGAGGGTGTAAGAGAGTTTTCTTGAGGACAATCTTTGAAGAAAGGTGCCACTCTTCTATGTTGGAGGAGAGCTTCAACCTAGCACGGGGAATGATTGTCATAACTTCTTTAGAGGGCCACCAGAGTTCGTAAAAAATGTGGACTTCTCTCCTATTATTAGGAGAGCTTCCTCCTACGTGAAGACACACATCTACAACCATCATAGTAGTGGCATCTCCTAAATCCCTTCGCCACCCCTAGAGTTAGTTCACTCTAGGCGCTGGGTTTGATCACCCACGCGGGGTGGACATGTCAGTAGACATTTGTCAGCATGGTCGCGCTGCCTATGTGATGGATCGTTACTTTTCATAGAGGAAGCCCTACATTAATAATCCCATGCATTGGCCATTTTTATTTAGAGCTAAGTGATTCCCCTTTGTGAGCTCTAGGTCTTAATTTTGCTTGGTCAGAATCCTAATTTCCCATTGTATTGGCGCTCCCAACCTTCCTTGGAGGGTTTGGTTAAGTCAAACGTAAAGAATGAGAAACGATTTATAGCTAGCCCATTCTACGAGATCGCGGGCATTCACAGGAAGGAAAAAAACTTTGTAGCTAGTCTGTCCTAAGAATGGTGAAGGACTTTCCCTATGAGAAATCAGAGGGGAAAGCCTTCCACATTGCCAATCCAAAGTTAGAGGTGGCTATGCCGCAGATTCAAGGGCATCAACCATAAACATATATGTTAGATCTTTAGGACGAGTTTCAATGTGTCGTCAAGAGTCAGGATTGCATTGCATATGTGTGGCCATTCATAACATTATTGTAGTGTGTGGATCATGTTGTATGTTGCATGCATGATCTTTTGAGCACATCGTGTCTATCTGCCTTCTCGGGCCGATCCTCGATCCTTCAAGTTTGATCAGTTGCCCAATGGTCGATCACCTTTCTTGCTAGGTTCGATCGACCGATACACGTTGATCGCCCTATCCCTCAAGTTCAACTGATCGATCACCAATCTTGGGTTGGATCAGTCGT